TTGGAAAACCACTGGATAAATTAAGGATGTGCAGTTGATCCTTGAACAACATGGGTTTGAAATGTGAGGGTCCCCTTCTACTCACATTTTTTTGAGTAAATACATACTGCAGTGTTATATGATCCAGGTTTGGTTAAATATGTGGATGTGCAACCGCGGATAAGGAGGGCTAACTGTAAAGTTATATGTGAATTGACTGCAGAGGGTCTGTGCCGCTAACTGCCACATTATTCAAAGGTCAACTGTATTACCTTTCTGGAGGGAATTGCATTTTTTATAGTTTTACTGAGATATAATTAACATACCAATTAATTCATTTAATGTATAGAATTCAATGGTTTTCCAGTATATTCACAGAAACGAGTAACTATCATCACACTCAGTTTAAGAACATTACATCACCTCAAAAAAAAACCCCACCCTTTAGATATCACTTTCTTACCACTCTGTCTCCCCTTCCCCTCCCCCCAGGACTAAGCAACCACTAATCTACTTTCTGTCTCTATAGAATTGCCTATTCTGGATTTGTCATATAAATGAGATAATATAATATATGGTCTTTTGTGACTGGCTTCTTTTACTTAGCATAATGTTTTCAAGGTTCATCCATGTTGTAGCATGTATGAGTAGTTTATTTTTTGTGGCCAAATAATAACATTCTATTGTATGGATACACCACTTTTTGTTTATCCATTTGTCAGCTGATGGATATTTGGGTTGTTTTCGTTTCTCTTGGGTGTATATCTAAGAGTAGAATTTCTGAGTCATACGTTTAACCACAAGAGGAATTTCCAGATTGTTTTCCAAAATAGATGTACCGTGCCCACCAGCAGTGTATGAAGGTTCTGATTTCTCCACATCTTTGCCAGCACTATAATTTCCTTAAAAAAAAGAAAAAATTACAACCATCCTAATGGGTGTGAAGTGGCATCTTGTGGTTTTGATTTGCATTTGTTTAATGACTAATAATGTTGGGCATCCTTTTATATGTTTCTTGGATTTGAATATCTTCTTTCAAAGAATGTCTTTAAATCCTTTGCCTTTTAAAAATTTGGGTTATTTATCTTGTTTTCATTGAGTCATAAGCAATCTTTATATATTCTCGATACAAGACCCTTATCAGACAAATGATTTGAAAGTATTTTTGTTTTCTTGATGGTGTCTTTCACAAAAGACAAAAGGTCTTTTTTTCACCATGCACAAAAGGTTTTGATTTTGATGAAGTCCATTTTATCTATTTGTTATTCTTTTGCAAAACTGTTTATGCTCTTCTGGGTCCAATTTCATATGAATTTTAGAATTAGCTTGTTAATTTCTGTAAAGAAACCAGGGTTCTGATAGGATTGCACTGAGTCTGCAGATCATTTTGAAGATACAGTTGGCCCTCTGTATCTGTGGGTTCTGCAACCACAGATTCAACTAACTGTGGATTTAGGATTGTCGTGTACACACTGCTATATTTAAAATGGATAACCAACAAAGACCCACTGTATAACATAGGGAACTGTGCTCAATATTATATAACAACCTAAATGGGAAAAGAATTTGAAAAAGAATAGATACATGTATATGTATAACAGAATCACTTTGCTGTACACCTGAAACCAACACAACATTGTTAATCAATTATACCCCAATATAAAAAAGTTTAAAAACAAACAAAAAAACACTTGAAAAAAAATTCCAGAAAGTTCCAAAAAGCAGAACTTGATTTTGCCATGTGCTGGCAACTATTTACATAACATTTACATTGTATTAGGTATTATAAGTAATCTAGAGGTGATTTAACATATACGCGGGTGTGTGCATAGGTTACATGCAAATACTACACCATTTTATATAAGGGAATTGAGTATCTGAGGGTTTTGGTATCTGCAGGGGTTGGGGGTTTAACAATTAAATCTTCCAGTTCACGAACATGGAAAGTTTTTCCATTTATTTATGTTGTCTTTAATTTTTTTTCAACAGCGTTTCATGGTTTTCAGAGTATAAGTTTTGTACTTTGTTTGTTACATTTATTCCTAAGTATTTTATTATTTTTGATGCTTTTGTAGATGGAATTGTTTTCTTAGGTTCATTTTTTGTTTGTTCATTGCTAGTGTATAGACATACAACTGATTTATATGTATTGATCTTGTATCCGACACTTTGCTAAACTTGTTTATTCTGTAAGTTTTTAAGTGGATTTCTTAGGAGATTTTTTCAGGAAATGACATCCCCCAAAGCATAATTTGTAGGAGGCAGCTTATGCTATTCTTTTGTGAATTCATGAGAGATGCCAAGGGAAGGCCTGCTATGAAACCTGGTATGATTTCTACACTTCTGGATGCTCCAGCTGCATTTTTCCTCACACAATAATGTTTTTCTAAGATTTTATGAAAATATTTTAAACATATAAAGTAGTTGAAAGAATAGTTTAGTGAACAACATAGTCTTACCACCTAGCTCTACAGTTAACATTTTATATTTGCTTTATCACATATCTATCTATCCAACCATCCTATTTCTTAGATGTATTTCATAAATTAAAGGTATCATTTCATTTCCCTGTAGAACTTCAGCATGAATATCATTAACTAGAGCTTAATATTTGTTTACTTTTCTGAAGGTGGAATTTACATAGAGTGAAATGCATAAATCTTAAGAATACCATTTGGTGAGTTTTGACTAATGCACACATTGGTGTAATCCAAACCTCTCTTAAATTTGGGGATAGTGCCACCACAGAAAGTTCCCTTATTCCCCTTCCAAGACAGTCCTCCCTTCTCAACCCCAACTACCAGGTGACCACTCTTCTAATTTTTTTAAACCATAGCTTAGTTTCACCTATCTAGGACTTTATATAAGTAGAATAGTATGAACTCTTTTGTGTAAGGCTTCTTTGACTCAGCCTTTTGAGATTCATTCATGTTTTTGCATGAATTAGTAACTTGTTCCTTTTGATTCCATTATGTGACCGTATGTTTGTTTATTTTCCTGTTGATGGATACCTGGGTTGTTTTCTTTTTTAAGTTATTATGAATAAAGCTGGTCTAGCATTGAACATAAGTCTTTCTGTGGATATGTGCTTACGTCTCACTTGAAGGAATACCTAGGAGGGGGGTTACTGGGTCATAGGTTTGGTGTATATTTAGTTATATAAGAAACTACCAGTACTTTTTCCAAAGTGGTTGTACTATTTTTCATTCTTGCCAAAAATGAGGGTTGTGTTTGTTCCACATGCTCGCCAAAATTTGATATTGTCAGTGTAAAAAATTTTAGCCTCTCTGGTTCATGTGTGGGTGGTTCAATTTCCATTTCTCTGAAGAATGAATGACAGAGCACTTTTTCACATACTCGTTGACTCTTTGTATCTCGTCCTTTGTAAAGTGTCTGCTTCAGTCTCTTACATATTTTAAAAATTGGATTGTTTGCCTTTTTGTTAGGGAGTTGTAGAAGTCCTTTAAATATCCTAAATACCAGTTCTTTATCAGATATATGTATTTTGAATATTTTCTGTCAGAGGTATGGCTTACCTATTCATTTTTATTAATAGCATCTTTGTTGAGCAGAAGTTTTTAGTTTTGATGAATTCTAGTATCAGTTTTTTGTTTTTTCTTTTATAGTTGTTGCTTTCTGAGTCCTGTCTATGAAATCTTTGCTTATCTTCAGGTCATGTATATATTCTTCTGTGTTTTCTTTTAGGACCTTCAAAGTATTAGCTTTCATATTTCAAATTATTTTATTATGTATATTGTGAAGACGTTATTGAGATTTATTTTTTCTCATAGATATATAGTTATTTGGTCTCACAGTACTTTTAATACTTTCTTTGAATCACCTCATTTCATAACCAGATCTTATAGATATTCGCTTTTTGTTTGTTTTTACCAACCCAGACTTTCATCTTTGCATTGTCTTCTGGTGTGTACTAAGCTGTCATTTGGAAGTTTAAAGAGGAAGAAAGGAAGAACTTGAATCTACAAGTGGTCACCTCTGCCTCAGTCTGTCTCTGTTGGAGTCTTCTGTATGCTGTAGGGTCAGAAGTTCTAAAGAACAGGATTTAGGATGTAGTTAGTTCACTGAAAAAGAAACTAAGTTTGCAACCAAAGGTTCATTCAATTTAACCCTGAAAAATCAGTTGATAGAGAAACTTTCAATATTCATATATTTTAATCTCTGTTAAAGCCTAAGAGGTTTTTTTAGTCTGAGACTCTTCTTCCATCAAATAACTGTTGGACAACCAGAATCCAATATGATAATAACATTTAATATTCATGTAGCACTGTAGTTTATAAAATACTCTCACAGATAAATTAAGTAAAGCAGTTATTATTCATCTCATTAAAAAAGAGAGATGAGTACATTGAAATGTTGACTGGCTAGGTCAGTTACTCTCGGTTATCAAGCTAGTACACAGTGAGCCTAGGGCTAGAATTGAGATCCTTCTGACTCAGTGAGTTCAGGGCCTCTATCTCGATATGCTGGTAGATTAGCATTCAGTCCTCTTGAGATGAAAAACGATTTCCTTGATCTCTGTCCACTTAAATCCATCTTTCTCCCTTACCACCCTCCTCCTCTTCTCTCTCATCCCATCTGTTGTGCGCAGTGCCCTGCATCAGGACACTGAAATGGTTACAGGATAGCAATACACTTAGTGCTGTATAAAATGTGCAGACAGCCTGTTTAGGGTCCTTTCAGAGTTGATGCTTTGAAATAACTTAGCAGATACATTAAATTAGCTTTCATTTTAATACAGCAGTATGTTTCTTCTGAATATCATTTTCTTTTCTTTTTAGTTCTCATATCTTTTAAAAACTTAATAGATTTTATTTTTTGGAGAAGTTTTAGGTCTACAGAAAAATTGAGCAGAAAATCCAGAGTTACGTATACTGCCACCCTTACACACACACACACACACACACACACACACACACACACACACACACACACATTTTTCCCTCTTATTGTGAGAACCCCAAAGTGCTTTCTCTAAAAATACCTCTCTGTTTGTTTTTCAGTATGCCAGGAAGCTGTCTGGGAAGCCTTCAGGACTTTTTGGGATCGACTTCCTGGGCGTGAAGAATATCATTACTGGATGAATTTGTGTGAGGATGGAATCACAACTATATTTGAAATGGGCACACATTTTAGTCAGTCTGTGGAACATAGAAGCTTAATTATGAAGGTAAATGTAGTAACAAGGGAAGAAATTACTGGACTGTTGTAGGAGTGCGTATACATAGCTCAGGCCTAAAGGAAGAAAGAGCAAATGCCAAGTCCCTGCATTACTCTTTTTTGTTGAATTAGGTTATTCAAGTGACCTACCACAGGGTGGCTTAGTCTTTGTATCCCTAGCTCTGGCCATTATAATAAGCATTGTTAACCCAGCAAGAGCCTCATGCTTGTTTATAAATGTAAATATTTGGAAATAATACTCAGCAAAGATTTAGGCTAAGAATATAAATCTGTGAGAGTCAAACATTCTTGCCAGGGTTTTTCATCTTATCAATTCAGAGTGGTGCAAACGACTCTAATTAAGATAGAGGATATAGGTCATTGGATAAATGTTTAGTAAAGTATAAATGTGATTCTAATTAATGAATTTGCTTACTTGTTTTCCTTGTTTTAGATTTAGTTTACTCTTAGCAAAGGATAAATAAGCATGCATATAGACAAATTATCTGCCCACCTTCCCCTTTCATGTTGCATGCATGTATTCATGACAAGAGAATGGAACTGTTTAGATATACGTGGTAGATTGCTCATGCTGTGTGATAGGCCCTTTATAGCCTTCTTCCTTTTGTTCAAGTCCTACATGTCCTCAGCTCAGATGTAACCTCCTTTGTGAGGAATCAACCCCCAGCCTAGCAGATTTAGCTCCCATAATCCTTTGAACTCCATAATTCTTTATTCATTCTTTAATGTTGTGCTTCTTACATTTTATTATTATTAGTTGTATATGTATATGTGGGCCAATGTATCAGAAGAATAGAATTGACAGGGGACCAGACTGGAGGGGTGGATAACTTAACAAATTTATAGTTGATAGGAAACCATTGAAGGGTTGTAAGTAGGTAAGTCATGGGGGCTGATTGGACAGTTTTGAATTGTAAAATGGTTATTATGGTTTCTATACGCCATGTGATAGATTAGAGGGGACAAGATGAGCAGAGATCAGTCACGACTCCAGGGCCGAGGGGACGAGAGTCCTAACTAGACCATGAGATAGAGAAAGGGAGCATAGGGGATATAAGTAGGAAAAAGATTAGTAGGACTCTGTGATGGATTGGATGGGAGTGGGATAGGATGAAAGAATGGCCCAGGAAGCCTCCCAGCTTCTAGCTTGGATGACTACCACTGAGAAGTCAGGCAGAGAAGCGGCTTGTAGATGCTGACAGGGAGAGTGAGTTTGCTTTTTAATGTGTTGTTTTGAGCCATTTGTGAAATGTGAATTGCTTGATATTTAGGTATGAAGCCAAGAAGAGTGGTCTGGGTTATAAATACAGCTCTAGGGATTACCAGCCTTGAGGTAGTAATTGAAATCATAAGAGTGGCTGAGAACCTTACTTAAGCAATCACTGGCTGTCCAAAATCTGAAGGAAGCTTGATTTTACCTTTTTTTTTCCTTAAATTGAAATATAGTTGATTTACAGTTGTGTTGATTTCTGCTGTACAGCAAAGTGATTCAGTTTTACATATATATATATTCTGGGGTTTTTTTTAGCTTGATTTTAAATATAACAACAACTGTTTACACATAGGTGGTGAATTTATGTGGTTGACACCCTTTATCAGAACTCAGAACGCCAGCATTTGTACAAATAACCACCATGCTGGCCTATAAAATTTTAAAGCTAATAGTATAACCTGATAAAATGATGATTTTGCTATATGCGTATATGTATCTTGAGAGAGATTAATTAAAGGAAATAAAATCACAGTTGAAGCTGCTGGATGGTTGAAATTAAAAAAGAAACAAAAAAGAGTGGCTGAGATTATTCTAGGAGAGTCTGTGTAGTAAGAGCCGTGAGTTATTTATAAATATTTTGGGAATTATTTAGAGTAATAGCCTCTCCATTTTACAGATAAGGAAATTGAGGCCCAGCACCAGAGAGACTGTGGGATTTACCTCCATAGCTAAGAAAGAGAAAATGGAATTCTTCTGATTCTAAGTTAGTGTTCTTATTATCGTATTGGTCTCAAAATAAAACCACTAATTTAGAGGAAACTTGGAAACAGTTTGCTTTGGAATGCCCCAGAGGAATAATCCAACTATTTATCAGACAATTTATCTTTTTATCTGAATTCTGGAGAATCAGATTTCATAGTTATTTTATCCACATGATTATATTGGTCTGTGATGAGAGTTTCTATAAATGTATTAGATCACAAAACAGTTTGGTTCTAAGTCCATGGAAGGTTAACGTAAAACTCTACCAATCTCTTACCTGTAGATCTTTTTGGAATGAGTAGCAGGTGAAGTCTGTTAATCTGTGTGCATTAAGAGAGCACAGGGACTTTTGTGCACATACACAGAGACTTGAGTGTCAGGACATTCTTGGAGTCACAGAACAAACTTGGCATCATTAGTACCTTGCTTTAACTATTTCTCTAGCCATAGAGAATAATAACATAGATTCTGTGTTAGGGCATTAGTGTTCTAGATGCAATACATTTTGTTTACTGCTTATTAACTGTCATTAATTCACATGGTCATTTTTATATCTTTGTTTTCCTTAGAAACTGACATACACAAAGGAAACTGTAAGCAGGTGAGTGTCTTTTTTCCTAAGTTCATGCTTGGCAACAGACATGTATCATACCTATTCCCAGACTCATCCCACATTTGATGATTCCTTCCTGTTTTCTTGCCAGTTCCTGCAATGACCAGGCCTGTGGGTTAGTCTCAAATGCTTTTCCTCATCTTGAGGCCACTTCCCTTCCCAGACCACCTCTGCAGCCACTGTGCTAGTTTACTGTCTGACCTTCCCAGGAGGCAGACTTGGTCCTCTCTCTTGGGTGAGAAAATAGATTTTTGGAAATGGAATACCAAATGATCTACTCTTGTTGAGGCTTACAGGCTAATGATAATATTGATCTAAAATGGTACACCTTAGTGGAGGATGGTTTACTAAATGATGGGTTGTGGTGTGGGTCACTTTATTGTGTAATGATGATTATGATGTTGAAGCATAGGAATAGCACAGCCTTGATGAATCCTCCAGTGGTATGAGTCTTGGCTCTGTGGGCCTTTAGGCTTAGGATTAAGGTCATTTCTGGCTCCTGAACAGTAGCAGGACAAAGCAGATCATGGAAGGTGAGGGATTTTGAGCCTACAGGGACTAAAGATTTCCAATTCTATCCATACTCAAAATATCTAGATTATGCCAGCACGTAAGTGATTTTTTTGGAAAAACATCACTAGGGCATGCAATTCAGGTCAGAGTCCAGAATTTTGCCTCAAATTAGATGGAAGGACAGATTGAAAAACCAACTAGGTGAGTCAGTGTCCAGAGGTCTAGCCTGGGCAGCAGAGTCCAGGCAAAAGCATAGCTGGAGTACACCTGTGGGTTGTAGTGGGGTATATGTAAGTTTCAAATCAAACATGAGTAAACAGGAGGAAAGTGGGACTCCTTGTGGTCTCACTTCGTACAGCTAACAGTACCACTGAGTCTATGCTGGGGCCTGGGATTGAGCTCCTGCTTAGCTGTGGGGCAATGTGGTGCTTTAAATGTGTGTTCTTCACCTCTGAGAGCCAGAGCTCGGAGGTTACTTGTGATTGCCATTGCAACACGAAATGCAGTAGACTAAATAATCTTGTGGGTCCTACCAGTGCCAGTAATCTTCATGGTTGTATGTAATAAAAATGATAGCACATCTTACATATCTTATATGGTTAAGAAGTATATAAAAACCATAATAAATATGGCTCTTAACCTGGAAGAAGCCTTGGAGTTTACCTGTGAAAATGGACATTGGAAAGATTGTAGCTTGTGAGTTATTATAAAGTGGTGGAAGGAAGGCTATCTGAAATAGAATGGAAAGTTGTAACACCATATGTGGATTGGTGTCATAACACATAACACATGAGGTGAACAGAGGTAGCTGGAAGATGTTTGAGGGGTAGTTTGTGTATTCCTACGTAGCTCACTTCAACTGGGTGCAGTTTTCTGCATTCACCTACTATTTCTTGTAATGAAATTGTGTATGTGTAGAAGAGAAATTCTTATTATGGTTAGTTTTCCTGATGTGTTAACCATGTTGAAACATTCATAAATAAACATCATAGAGAACTGACTGTGTCACATATTTTTATTGTTAAGGCACTGTATGTCCTAGATAAACGAGGAGACTCAAAATACTATGCACCATCCTTAGAAAACAGGACATGAGTAAAAATAGCAATACAGATGAACAAAAATATAACTGAATTTTGAGAATTTAAAAGTTGGTATCCTTCCCATGAAACTAGAGCAGACCAGGTCGGGGTGGGATGAAAAGTTGTGGTACTTGCTGAAATGGTACTTGCTGAAATGAGGTGACCTGGAGTTAGGTAACCCTGGGAGTGAAACCATGGGAGTGGTGTAGGAATTCACTAAACCCCTCTTTCTTTAAGCTGAATATTATAGTCATCCCTTAAAACCCTTAATTTGCCCATCACTTTTCTATATTTAAATTTATTTTTATGATTTTCTTGAGATTACTCTCATTTTCTGTGTTGAGATTCTGGTACTAGTTTTCTATTTCTGCTGCAACAAATTACCACAAGCTTTGGTAGCTTAAAAAAACACAAATTTGGGCTTCCCTGCTGGTGCAGTGGTTGAGAGTCTGCCTGCCGATGCAGGGGACACGGGTTCGTGCCCCGGTCCAGGAAGATCCCACATGCCGCGGAGCGGCTGGGCCCGTGAGCCATGGCCGCTGAGCCTGCGTGTCCGGAGCCTGTGCTCCACAACAGGAGAGGCCACAGCAGTGAGAGGCCCACGTACCGCAGAAAACAAAACAAAAAAACCCCACAAATTTATCTTACAGTTCTGTAGTTCAAAAGTTTGACATGAGTCTCAAGGTGTTGGCACGCCTGCGTTACCTTTCTGGAGGCTCTAGGGGAGAATCTGTTTTCTTGCGTTTTTTAGCTTCTAGAGGCTGCCCACACTTGTTGACTTATGACCCCCTTCCATCTTCAAAGTTAGCAGTGGCTGGTCGAGACTTTCTCACATTCTATCACTCTGACACTCTTCTGCCTCCTTCCACATTTACATTGGTCCTACCTGGATAAACCAGGATACACCCTCTTCCTTAATGCCAGCTGATTAGCAACCTTAATTCCATCTGCTACCTTAATTTCCCTTTGCGTGTAACCTAACATAGTCACAGGTTCTGCGGATTAGGATGTGGACATCTTTGGGAGACCATTATTCTGCTTACCACAATACTTGTCTGTAATTTAAATTGCTTCTTTTACATGAACTCTAACCTATCTGCTAACATATGGCTTGTACCAAATAGTCTGCTGTGTACCAATTTAACCTTCCCCCTACTATCATCTGGCAAGTCTATTAAAAAAAAGCATTTTCCACCTTACTCAGGACCTCACATCCCATCTTACCCTTTAGACACCAACCTGTCATTGTTTTTTTCTCTCTCTTCTGAGTGTTCAACTTCTCCTGTTACTAACTGCTCATTAGCATTTAAACATGCTCAAGTGTTCCCAGGTTACCTGTTTTAAAAAAAGCCCTCCTCCAGCACTTGTCTCCAGCCAGACATCTTGAAAACATCTCCCCTTAGCTCCAGTCATAATTTATTCAAATACATTTTCCATCCCCTTTTCTCTTGCTTCTCCTTCTGGAATCCCTATTATGCATAGATTGGCATGCTTTGTATTATCCCATAGGTCTGTTATATTGCTTTCATTTTTTTCATTTGTTTTTCTGTCTGCTGTTTTGATTGGGTAATTTCCATTATTCTATCTTCCAGATCACTTATTCTTTCTTCTGCATTACTCATTCTGCTGTTCATTGCCTTTAGCTCAGCTTTTGTCTCAGCAAATGAATTTTCTAATTTTTCTTGGTTCCTCCTTATAGTTTCTAGTTCCTTTTTACAGTAATCTGAATTTCTGTCGATAACCTTTCTTAATTCCTTCAGCATTTTCATTACCTCCTTTTTGAACTCAGTGTCTATTAGACTGAAGAGGTCTGTTTCATTGTTTGTTCCTTCAGGGGAATTCTCTTGGTCTTTTAACTGGGAGTGGTTCCTCTGCTTCTTCATTTTACTTATATTTCTCTCATTCTGTGAGTTTAGGAGAAACAATTATCTACTGTAGTCTTGGAGGGCTATTTATATGCGGGATCATCCCTGCATAGCTCATGTGGGTTTAATAGTTTTTTTGTTTTTGTTTTTGTTTTTGTTTTTTTTGCAGTACGCGGGCCTCACTGTTGTGGCCTCTCCCATTGCGGAGCACAGGCTCCGGACGCGCAGGCTCAGCAGCCATGGCTCACGGGCCCAGCGCTCCGCGGCATGTGGGATCTTCCCACACTGGGGCACGAACCTGTGTCCCCTGCATCGGCAGGCGGACTCTCAACCACTGCACCACCAGGGAAGCCCAGGTTTAATAGTTTTTTGGTGTGAGGGCTGTTTTTGGTTTGAATGATTGCTGTCTCTTTCCTCAGCATGTGCTGTCCTTTATCCCCTTGATAGAGGGTGTGCAGGTGCGTGGCCCTACACACATGCTCTGAGGAAGGCAGGGGCAGCGGGTCCAAGCTGCCTCTCGAGTCCAAGATGGCAGCAGCAGCTCATACCTGGAGCTCGTGTAGGCGGTGCCCTGCTGCAGAGGAAGAAGCTTCTATGGCGGTCCCGCCCCTCTCCTTGTGCGCTTCCCAACAATGGCACCTTGCCTCTGTGGTGCGCCCCCTAGCAACGGCACCTTGCTTCTTTTCCTAATGCCTCTGCATATAATATTTTATTTAGTTTTCATCAGCACCCTTGTGAAGTAGGTAGGGCAGGAGGTGTTTCTATTTTAGAGATTAGTTCTTGAGGCCCAGAGCAACTGAGGTATTTTCCCAAGTTATACACAAAGTTGGTGATACATCTGGGACTAGAACCCAGGATTCCTAATTCCTTGCCTTATGTTCTTTTGTTGTCACATGCTCATTACAGTTAACAGATTCTAGAACAAAGCAAAGTATAGTAAATTGTAAAGGGGAGTAGTAATCTAGATATGAAAGTATTGTTGGCTTGTTTTACTGTATTTTTAAACATATATTCCATGTGGCTATGATACCTTTTGACACAATTCCATCTGAATTCCACTGACATGATTAGGTAGTCGTTGTGAGGAGTAAATTATGAGCTGGATAAACTGAGAAAATGAGACAGTAGGGGGTTGTTTGCTGCTGGTATTAAGCTGAAGGTCTTAGCTGACCAACTTCAAATTTGTGGGTTGGCCTAGAAATGAAGCATTTCTGTCTCTAAACCCAGTACTACTCTGTGTTCTAGTTCTGTTGTGAGTCACATTTTAGGGTATCCCTGCAGGAGGCACACCTAATGAGAAAATGTGAAAGGATTCTTGTTACTGTCTTTTGAAGGAAGTGTGGGAGGATGAGGGATTAAGTGTTAGACAAACGATTTGAGTTACTGAGAGTTGCCTACTTACCATCATTAAAATAATGTTATTTTGAATTTAGTAAGTGAAATCCAGTTCTACTGAAGTGAGCAGACTTCTCCATTCTGAGTATTTACTTAGAGAATTAGCTTAAATTTGATTTTAATTTGGGGGACAATTTGACCAACCCCAGGTGAGGTCTGGTTTCTCTGCCATGCCATCCCAACTTCCTTTTCTAGTTACTGTAGTATTGTACTTTGTTTTACTTTGACCTCTTTGCTCTTCATATTGATTGCTCTCCAGCTTTCACTGGGTTTCCCTTCCTCTTTCTTGGTCCTTACACATTTTGACTTCTAGGTCTTTTAGTTTATGTACACCACTATCATTAAGACCAAGTAAAACCATCTTGGTTGCTCTTCTAGGGAATATGGGTCACATAAAGTCCATGTGATGTGGAATTAATGTGGGTAAGAGTGAGGTTTCTGGAATCAAATGGGCCTATTTTACATCACAGCTCCATCATTGGCTAGCTGTGTGACCCTGAGCAAATTCTTAATCTCTTCTATCATTAGTTTCCTCATATGCATAAATGGGGATAATAGTGTCTTCCTTTTAAGACTGATGCCAGAATTAAGTGAGTTAACCAAGATAAAGCACTTAACACAATGCCTGACACGATAAATTTAGTTGTAGTCATTCTTGCTATTATTATCATTGAAAAGCGAACTGGATATGGTTAGGAATTTTAGGTATGGCCTTGGGTGACCCTGAGAAAATTGCTTTACCCATTTGCACCTTGATTTTTCATCTATAAAGTGAAGGTATTGGGAGGGATTCTGCCTTGTGGACAGTTGATAAATCCTGTTCAAGCCTGATGATGTTAATGTCTCTTCCAAATGCATCTGAATCCTAGTTTTTTAAGCTCCGTCTCCTGCAACCCAAGAAGCCTCTTGGTGCTTTCTCATCATCCAGGTCTTCCTCTACTCATCATTCATCAGAATGACTTATCCAGATGTCCTATTCCTTTGGGTTCTTTTGGATGACAGCTCACTTAGTAAGCAGTTTCCTGCAAGTGGATGAAAAATAACCAATAGTGGTAGGTTTGGTGTACTGGTTTAATATGTTATTCTTTCTAGATAGTATTTCTAAAACCATAAGAATCCTTATGGTGAGATTTTTTTTAACCTATATTTCTCAAATTTTCTACCAAAGCCTGGGGCTTTAGGGAACATGGCCCTAGTTGACTCCCCCACTCCAATTCCAGTCATGAAATGTCTTTGAAACTATCATATTTTATCTTAATATTCATTTAAACTTTATATTCTACTCTATAGCCACACTTGTTTTAATATTAAGATGTTTTAAATTCCATATCAGTTTTTACTTAGCTCCCTGCCTATGCTTTTACTTCCGAGTAAAAAATTGCTGCTTCAAGATGTGTGCCATGTTTATCTGGTGGCTGTGAGCGACCCTTCCCCTGCCCCACCGTGATCTAGTTTAGAGCAGCAGGACAATTTAAAGGGGGTGGTTCTGAAGTGAAGATGGGACTCACTGAGACATTAGCAAGTCTGAGAGGGAGACATTTTGACTGTGATTAACTCACCTTCGAAAGGTGACTTGTGGAAAGTTGAAGAGAGTTTTCAATTACTATAATTTAAATTGTATATTTTGGGGGTATATGCAAATTTGGACTTGCAGAAACCCACCTTCTTTTCTTTAGAGCAAGGGCTTTCTCAGATTATCCTCTGATCTCTTCAGATCTTTGCTTTCAGTTGCAGGGCAACATGGTAAAAAGATAGTCAGGGACCTGAAACCTGAGAGCAATGTGGCCTATAGCAAATCATTTCTCTAAGCTTGACTTGTTTTATATTAAAAAGTTTTATGACTCTGTGATCTCTCAAATGAGATGAGATTTGGGCTTATATGTTCGCCTTAGCAGCCAGTGCTTTCGTGTCTGTACTACTTGTTGAGTTTGTAATCATGTATTTGTTATCTGTTTTCTATTAGACGGTAACCTTCTTAGACCATGGGTGTTTTGTTCACAACTGTATGTCAAGTGCCTTCTACACTACACTGGTTGGCCAATAGTATTTATTTATTTGTTCCCAAAATATCTATTTAGTGCCTACTAAATGGTAGGTTCTTTTTTAGGGTGGAGATACAGCATGACTATGGCAGGTAAGGTCCCTAATCTCATGGAGTTTAGATTCTTGAGGCAGTCTTATTCAATAGAAATTTCTGTGACGATGGACATGTTCTGGGCTGTCCAATAAAGTAGCCATTAGCCACATGTGACTGCTGAACACTTGAAATGTGGCTAGTGTGGATAAAGTTCTGAATTTTAAACTTTAATTTTAAATTAACTTAAATTGCCACATATGTCCACTGGCTACCATATTAGACAATGCCATTCTAGAGGATTAGGGCATGGACAGAGATCAAAAAGTAGATAAATAAATGAGCAGGATAATTTCCCATAGTGATAAGAACTGAGAAGAAACAAAACAGTGTTATGAAATAGTAAGTAAGGGAGTACTTTATGTAGGGTGATTCTAGTTGAGTAGCATCAAAAAATGTAAAATAAATCAATTGTAAAGACTATTTTTTTTTTTAATTTGCTACTTAGTACTTTGGTTTGGGAATCGTTGTTTGGAGATCTGGTGAATCCTTTTTGGAAAACAAACCCCAAAATAACCCCTCACATTTCTATCATTTAATAACTCCAAACAATTTTTTTCCTAGCCCTGAATTGTCATCTCCAGTTCCTGTTGGTGATACCTCAACATTGGGAGGTAGGCTTTTGTGCCTTTTATTCACTTTTCTTCTAAAATTTATTATCTAATTGAAAGGAAGCAAATTTTTCAGCTCACATTTTAAAAATACCATGTGTTTCTCTCTACGTGTTGTTAAAGAGTCTCAAGAAAAATTAATTCTTTTGTCACTTATTTTATGACATTATGATGTGGGTACTTAAGAATCTTTAATTATTAAGTATAAAACAAAATCGGAAAACTGCTTAAAACAAATGTACAACCTAAACAATTGTTTTATGGCAAACACCCTGTGATCACTGCTTATGTCAAAAGGTAGGACCTTTCTAGCTCCACCATTTGTCATTTGTCTTGTAGAGTTTTCCAGAGTAATTTTTTCTGATTGCATTCTGTGGTGTACTTTAACATTTACTTTGACCTCTATATTTCCTATAAATTAGTAGTTGCTTTCTTTGTTTTGTTTTGTTTTGTTTTGCAGTACGCGGGCCTCTAACTGTTGTGGCTTCTCCCGTTGCGGAGCACAGGCTCCGGACGCGCAGGCTCAGCGGCCATGGCTCACGGGCCTAGCCTCTCGCGGCATGTGGGATCTTCCCGGACCGGGGCACGAACCCGTGTCCCCTGCATCGGCAGGCGTACTCTCAACCACTGCGCCACCAGCGGGGCCCGCTTTCTTTATTTTTAATTTTTTTTTTAAAAAAGCTGTTCTATGTTGGAAATTTCAAACATATACAAAAATAACACAATGAGGCCCAGCTTCAGTAATTATAATTTATGGGAGGGGGTGGGTTGAATTGGGAGATTGGGATTGACATATATACACTACCATGTATAAAATAGATAACTAATGAGAACCTGCTGTATAGCACAGGGAACTCAATGCTCTGTGGTGACCTAAATGGGAAGGAAATCCAAAAAAGAGGGGATATATGTATACATGTAGCTGATTCACTTCGCTGTACATCAGAAACTAACACTACATTGTAAAGCAACTATACCCCAATTAAAAAAAGATTATAACTTATGGCCAATTCCAACCTTCACCCACTTCCCCTGTCTGAGAGTGTTAGTTTTATCAGATAGCTCCTTAAGGATAGGGACTTTGTATCCCTGGAGGCTTGCATAGAGCCTGACATATAGTACGTATCAATAAATGCTTGTTGAATGAGTCATATTTATTTCTTGTGCTGAGGAGACTCTGGATAAATGTGTCTTGAGGTTAGAATGCACAGAATTTCTAGGATGAAAAAGTAAATGACTTTTAGAAATGCCTTGGAAATCAGTTTCTTGCTTCCTGATAGGAATTCTGATTTAGTCATGGACTGAATTCATGCACATGTCTTTGTTTTTCTACTTAGGTGCCAGTCTCAGTGTTCCATATCCAGGGGTGACCTTCTATGAAGGTATCTCAGAGAGCAGCTTGGAGAGGCCAGAAGAGAGTGTGAGTGATGTTCTGTTTTGTTATTTAGTTTCTAACATGGAGAATAGGGATTAAGAGAGATTTATAGTCCATTGCCAGACTACACAAAACTTCAGGTGGTTCCCTTTATGGAAATGTAGATTCTAAAACCAGTTCAAAAAATCTGCGATTCCTTAGAGAGCCAAGTAAATCTGCTTTTGGCAAGGAATGGCTTCAAACTGTAAATGAAATGACTAGGGGCCTGGGGAGCTGTCATCATGGTAAGCCCACTGTCTTTTGTGGGCTGTGTACATAATTTACTGTGAGGGTTTTTGCTTATGTTCTTTTGTCTCTTAATAAATCAGGACTTAGTCTTCTTCAGAGGGAAAGTATATAGATTTTATGTAGTTTAAAGAAATACCATGCTTTTTAAATGCATCATTATTAATAGTAATCTGTCCACTAAATAACATTAAGTTGGCTTTCTATCACATTGAAAATTTTTTAAAAAGTATACACTTCCAGGAAGATAGAAACATTTTGTTAGAAATTTTGTTAGATATGCATAAATCCTAGATTACTTAATATAAGCAAACTCTGATTGAACGTACTCACTAGAAAGGTACAATTTTGTTACCTTACACCTTCTCTTACCAACTTGGACATTTTAACTTCTGAGAAGTCAAGTTAAGTCACCCCACTCTGCCCCACCACTTTCCCTGTCACTGAACAAGGCTGGTGGTAGTTTGGGATCCTTGAATCAATATATTTACCCTTAGTACAACTGTGTCCAAATTAGATGGTACTAGAAAATATTGGCATTTGATAAATATTTGAATAAAAAGTTATACTGTAGTTCTGAACTTGAGGCAGAATAGTTATGATTTAGGTCTGGAAACATTTACAGAATGAGATAGAATTCACTATAATAGAAATGAAGACATTGTGTGTAATCAATTGGAACATTCTAAAACAGAGAGGGTGATTTGAAGGTGATTTATAGAATCAGTAGGAAAACAGAATAGTACAGGGATACATGACAGGAATTAGATTGCCTGTACCTCTAGTTCAAAGTGAAGCCTAATGTACAGTTTTACAGTTCAGTTTTTTCCTAATACATTTTAGAAATTATATACTTTATTTCTGTTTTGTTACTATTTACCCTGTGTGTTATTATGTGTATTTAATCTAGCAAAATTTAAGTTTTTCAGAATCTTTATCCTTATCCTGAGTAATACAGGAACATTAGAATATTAGAATGATTCAAATGATCACCCTACTATTTTATATGCTATTTTTCAGTATTTTTGTTCTTTCCCTTTAAAGCTTGTTTTACATTTACCCAGATGTTTACCACTTTATTTTCTTAAAACTCTTTTTTGCAGTTTAGACCTCTCTTCTGGACTAATTTTCCTTCTGAAATATATGCTTCTGGTATTACTTTAGTGAGAATATCTCACTGGTTCAATCTCAGTTTTTGGTCACCTGAAACTTTATTATCCTCTTATTCTAGAAAGACACTTAAAATCTGTATTAAATTCTAGATTGAGTTTTTTATTTTCAAGGTTTTATTTCACTTCTTCTAACTTTTATTGTTGCTACTAAGAGCTCAACTAACAATTTAGTTCTTATTCCCTTGTGGGTAATCTTACTATTTTTTGGTCCTACTTTTAAGATATTGCGCTCTCTCTCTGTCTATCTATATCTAATGATGAGAGATAATGACTGAGAATTTCTCAAAATTTATAATAGTAATAAAGCTTCATGTTAAGGAAGTACAACAAATCCAAAGCAAAATAAATAAACATAATCACACTCTTATCCCCATTGTTGTGAAACTGCAGAATCCCATATACTATATAGTGTACTACTGTAAGTATACTGTAGTATAGTATACTGCTACAGGCATATCTCAGAGATACTGTGCGTTCAGTTCCAGACGACCATAATAAAGTGAATATTGCAATAAAGCAAGTCACACAAACTTTTTGGTGTCCTAGTGCATATAAAAGTTATGTTTAAACTCTACTATAGTCTATTGAGTGTACAATAGCATTATGTCTAAAAAAAACCAATGTATATATCTTAATTAAAAAATACTTTATTGCTCAAAACTGCTAACCATCGTCTGAGCCTTGAGGAAGTCTAGTAGTAACATCAAAGATCACTGATCACGCATCGCTATAACAAATATAATAATAATAAAAACATTTGAGATATTGTGAGAATTACCAAAATGTGACACAGGGACATGAAGTGAGCAAATGCTTTTGGAAAAAAGGCACTGATGGACTTGCTTGACTCAGGATTGCCACAAACCTTCAATTTCTAAAAAATGCAGTATCTGCAAAGTACAATAAAGGGAAGCTCAATAAAATGAGGTATGCTTGTGTATATAGTATCCCCAATACTATATCATTTAGTATTGTATAGTATCCCAAATACTGTATCATATACTACTCTAACCATAACTATGATATAATAGTATATAATACAGTATTGAGGATACTGCAGTTTCACAAAAATGTATATAGAAGAAATTTCCAGCTGTTACTTCATATGATTAGATATATGTCTGACCTCCTCATTTTATACCTTCTGTCAGTTAACCACTGTTTCATAACTTTCTTTGTCTCTCTGTGTTGCATTCAGAAATGTCTTTCAGTTCACTTATTCTTCTTTCAGCTTAGTCTAATTTGTTTTTCAAACTGTCTATTGAGTTTTTAAAATCCTTGCTTTATGTAGGAGTCTTTGATCTGACTTTTCAACACTATTTATATTTATATTATATCCCTTTGTGGTATTTAAAACTAAAGCCTAGGTCCCAAGGGATCACTAGATATACTATGTACACATAGATTACTGAATCACCTCTCTGGATTTTTCTAACCTATCTGGATACCTTGGGGCTTTCTTTATTTTCTTACAAACCAGCTCTGCATTAAAAACATTAAAAATATTTATTTAGCATTTTAGGCATTCTGTAGCAGTAAGGTTACTAAGGATATTTCTTGTATAGTAATAATAGAAGTGGAAGTATCTGTTCAAATTTAGTGAGAGAAAATTTAATATGGAAGAAGACAAAGTCTTGTACAAAATTCCTTAAGACTAAAGGTTTTTGTTAGTTTCAACATGACTCAGCAGTATGATGGGGAAAAAAAGCTGAGTACTGAGGGGAAAAAAACTAGTAAAAACAAGTGTACTTTCAGGCTGCATGATAGAAATTAGAATCTACTATAAGGAAGGTGATAGTTGTACCATATTTTAATTGTACCATATTTTAATTGATCAGACCTCACTTATGTGTACCACACTCTAAGGAAGACATTAAGAGCTTGAGAAGTCTCTAGAGGAAAGGAACTAGTGAAAAATCAGGGAAGATGACAGCTGCCTATACTTATTTGAAGGGCTGTCTGGGGACTACACTTTTTATACGCATTCCAGGTTGCAGAACTGAGATCAGTGGGAATTTACAGGGAAATATATTTGGGTTTTATTAAGAACTTTACAACCATGAGAGAGCTTTTTTGGAAATGTAATGGCCTGCCTTTGAAAGTCTTTCCAAGACTTTCTCATCAGAGCCATTTAAACTGAGGATGAATAGATATTTGGGGGAGATACTGTAGAGAGAATTCAGGCATCAGAAAGGATGGTGGAATTTTCGAGGTTCTTTCCAGTTGTGAAGTTTTGAAGGTCTGTGGTTATTTGATCCATCAGGGAAGAAAGATGATACAGTAGAAAAAGCCCGGTATTCTCTTCCTGACTCTGCCATTGGCTTGCTGTTAGCCCTTAGGCCATTCTTCCATCTCAATCCCTGTTTTTCTTGTGTATTAAAATGGAGGGACTTGGATTAGATGAGCACAAGTGTATCTTGCATGCAGCAGTTATTAGTGTTGGGTTCTAGTAGTGATATTCTGTTTTCCTCATTCCTTCTACATTTGTTAATTGGGATTCTTCGGTAAGGAACTATTGCCACTTCTCTCTTGTTTATTTATTAAATTATTTATTTATATCAGTACAGACTCATGGATATTTCTTTTATTCTTTGGATTATAATCCACTATTTATTTTGTGGCTCAAATTGTTCCAGCTTTGGCTTGTGGAAGACCTGGATTTAGATGTTACAGAGTACAAAAAGTTTGTTGGTGTGGTTTCAGATTCCACGTAGAAACTAACCTTTAAAACACTTCCACTCATTGAGTTTGGCACAGTATCAGAAAAGATTATCCATGACTATCTGAAAAGGCTATTAATGTATTCCTTCCTTACCCAATACATATCTGCGTGGCTGGATTTTCTTCATGTACTTCAACTAAAACAACATATTGAATGCAGAAGCAGATATGAGAATCTAGCCATCTTTTATTAAGCCAGACTTTAAAGAATTTGTAAAAATATAAACATTACTCTTCTCACTAATTTTTTTATTTTGCAAAACATATGTTATTCATTTGTACATGTAATGAGTTTCTTATTTTGAAATGAATTAATATATATATTTAAAATTTCTCTTTTAATTTTTTGTTTGGTGTGTATCTATAGATATAACCCACAAAAACCAAACTTCTTTGGGTTCCTTAATGAATTTTAAGAGTTTAAAGGGGTCCTAACACCAAAAAGTTTGAGAAACACCCTTCTAGACTATTTTTAGATGATCATTTCAACTCTTTTTCTTCTTTAAAAATTTTTTCCTTTTATTTATTTACTAACAAAATTTTCTATCCTTCCCTGAACCAGTCATTGTGTATTCAAAGGAATGTACAAATACACAGTAATTTTAATATTAGCCTATGTCTTAAAGTCCACCAGTTAGTTTCAAAGTCAAATATTATATAAATAATCGTCATCAGAAGTTGCCTTTGGCACAGTGTCTGGCATATCATGGGTGATCAGTAAATATTTGTTGACTGAATGAGTGAACATTTATTGTTCTTTCTCTAAAAATCCAGATTAGCAATGAAATTGAGAATGTGATAGAAGAATCCACAAAACCAGCAGTGGAGCAGGTTGCAGAATTCAGTATCCACCTTTTGGGGGAACAATACAATGAAGAACTACAGGATCCCTACAGCTTTCACCACCAGCGCCTTGTAGAAGAGTTTATTTCAGAGGTGGGTGATTTTCTTGTATGTTTTTATTCTTTTATTTCTTTTTGTATACAAGATAGTTTGCTGGGGTTGTAAATTTCCCATATTAACAACACTGGTTAAAGGTAGATTTCGGATTTAAGCTTTCCATCTGTTTGATTCAGGGAGTGGTGATTTAGCCATTTCTTTAGAAGGCTCTGTGAAAAGTTCACCGAAAGATGAACTATTTCATTGAAACAAAATTTTGTATGCGTTTGCCATCTGCTACCAAATAAATGCTATTTCCAACTTTGGCTGCACAGCCAAGGAAGAATGTGTTCTATGGCATGGTTTTAACTTGACCATATTTGGAGAAATGAGTATCTTTGAGAAACTGTATTTAGTGTGTTGTTTTTCTTGAGGGAACATCACATTTAATTTTTAAAATTTTATATTTGTTCTTTTTTTAAGTTGAAAATTTTTTAACAGTTAATAATAGGTAGTATGAGGCACCAAGTTCAAAGGACAAAAGGATATCCAGTGAAAAGTAAATTTTCCTGTTATCTCTGTTCCTTGGTTGGAAGTATTTTTAAAAAGGGGTTTCTTTAAAGAATTGTGCATTAGACCATCCCACAACCTTACTTTCTGGAAGAATTCTATATAGGGGCTTGAACTCAAGATTCTTTCAGTCAAAAATGACCCATTCTTGGCCCCCTTCTTGTGTGCCTTTGCTCTTGTATAGACTGTAAGGCACTGAGTGCCCATCTCCTCTCTCTGTCCAGTGAGAGGGCACATCATTCCTTCCTGTTTATTTCTTTTCCATCGCTCTCGATGGAATTCTCTTTGGCTAAGTTTTTCAATTCCATTACCTTGGACTAATTTCCTTCTCTTTACACTGTTTAGACGAGAAACAAAAATGTGCATCTCTCAGCCAAGCAGCATTATTGCAGCCATCAGACACAGAGAATGTAGGCCAGACGATTAATTTCCTAGCTGTGTGGCCAAGTTGTGAGGCTGTATGGTGTGTGGAAGAAATGTCAGCCAGGCCAGTGGCCACCTGGCATCAGATAGTGTCTTGGATCAGCTGTTTGGTTCTCTCTGCCCTTGGATTAAGGAACCTTTAATAAGCCTCAGTGTTTGGGTAAACAGTCATGCTGAATGACTGCATGTTTAGAGAAAGTCTAATAAACACTCTGAAAAAACATTTCCAGCAGGGACTTTATGAGGTATAGGTAGCTATTGGTTTGAGGTGATTTGAGGGTGATGAAGGATCCGTTCCTTCTCTGGCCTTTTTCTGTATCCCCGTCCTTTTAACTGGAATAAAATGTTTACGAATAGCCACTTCTTTGTATGGAACTGCAGGGTCAGGGTCATGTCTCTGAAAGGTCCTGTCTCCATGTTTACTGCAAACTGAAGGAGGCCCTCAAGCTCTCTCCCTTCAGGACACAGTCACAGGAATTGTTCCTTCAATATTATTTCTTAGGTAATATTGCAAGACACAGGGAAAAAGAAAGCCTGCTTGGGAGGATTGAGGTTCGGGAGCCGTTACTTTTTTTTTTATTATTTTTTTTATCTTTTATGAGAAGAGTAAGATAAACTTGGGACATCACCAAGAATGACATCAGAGAGGGAAAGGTCATTGTGATAGGCTTGGGAGTGTGGATACCTGACAACAGACACGGAATCAACAGTGTCCTCGCATAGTGCTTTGTGTTCTGCAGCCTGCTGTATGTCCGTTTGCTAACAGCAGCCGTGTGGGTAATCATCTCCATTTTATAGATGAAACCCAGGAGGGCAAGGAACTTGTTCATGGTCGTTTCATTTCAGCTTCTAGGAGTAGAAGGGAAAATCAGGTCTCCTCCTTCCTTTGAAAGTGTTCCTTCCTTTATATCAATACAGAGTCCCCTTCATTTTAATTCAGGTGAGAAGTTGTCGTGAGCCTCACAGTTTTCCCAGTCCTGGTCCCAATTTTAAAACCATATTTATCAGGGGAAAGAGGATGAGGCATGTATTTCAGTAGAAAGATTGGGGATTGAACAAACTTGGATTCAGTCACTTACCAAATGCATGATCTGGACAAATTAGTTGACATCTCAGAGTCTCAGTTTTCTCAACCATATAATGGGAAAGATATGTATCTCTTGGTATTGTTGAAAGGATTAGAAGTAATGTTATATCAAAGCACCAGGTACATAGCAGTCACTCCGTAAATTGTACCTGTTACTAATCTTGATGTTAATAAAGTGGAATGACTTTATTACAGCTGGGTACCTGTACATAGCTAACTGGGTATGATTAATTAGAATACATATATGTATTTGAATCAAGAGATGGCAAAACCCCAGATGAGTTGGGTTTAGTATTAATAATAACATGCACTTGTACAGCATTTTGCAATTAATGGAGTACTTTCAGCTACATTCATTTTAACCTTACAAAAACTAATGTGGTTGGTGGGCAGGGCAGCATTAATCATATGAAAGAAGACTTGTGCCTGGCCACTCTGCCAGTAAAAACAGCTGGCACTAACCCTCAGTCTTTGGATTCCTAGTCCTGCAGATTCTATCCCCAGCCTCATCCTCCGAGAATTAATAGTACTTCTCAGTTTTCTTTCAGAGAATGAAACAAGGCAATTATTATAGCTAAAAAGTTTCACATGTTTGGATTCTTTATCTGCAAGGCATGAATATCTTCGGTGAACCAAGATTTTAAGAAAATCCCATTCTCCTGATTATGTGTGGACTTGGTTTTAAAAGCAGATGCCCAGAGATGTCACTAACAACTTCTCTTGTTCTAGTGTCGGCCCCCTAGTGACTCATCTGGTGAGATTGTCACCTTCTGAAATGTTGTGTATAAAATGTTTGATTTTGTTAAATATGTATTTATGCATAACTGATTTTTTTAGGTATTTGGTCCAATCTAGCATTTCCCCCCACTCTAGTCACTAAGCTTATATTGATTTATGTGGCTTGATTTTAAAAACTCAGTGATAAAACTGGTTCCTGCAGTTGTGATGCTCATAAATTGGTCTTTTGACCAGTTACTGCTTTATAACCTCCTTCGTGACAAGCAGTCAACAAGGCCTAAGCCCAGGTCTGCAGATTTCTTTCTTAAGTTAGCTGTGTTCACAGCCCCTTGTGTTGTAGGAGTAGGAAACAGATGCCACCAGACATTTTACACTTAGAGGAAATGAGCACCTGACTGTGTGTTAGCGTGTGTGCTGTGGCCAGATTTCTTTTTTAACATCTTTATTGGAGTATAATTGCTTTACAATAGTGTGTTAGTTTCTGCTTTATAACAAAGTGAATCAGCTATACATATACATATATCCCCATATCTCTTCCCTCTTCCGTCTGCCTCCCACCCTCCCTATCCCACCCCTCCAGGTGGTCACAAAGCACCAAGCTGATCTCCCTGTGCTATGCGGCTGCTTCCCACTAGCTGTCGATTTTACGTTTGGTAGTGTATATATGTCCATGTGTGGCCAGACTTCTAATCCATATAATTACATTAAAAAATGTTATTACAGTTTCTTTGAAACCAGTCCTTTTTTCACATTTCATCACATAAGGGAAAAAACAGTGCTTTGCCAATAAAAGTGTGTTTTTTATAATTTGGAAAAAATTAATATTAAAGCACATCAAAACCTTAAAAATCAAAATGAAAAAGGAAAATGTGGCAGTGATGTAAAAACTATTTTCTAACATTGTAACAATTATAATTTTCTTAACTTTCTGATCCACATATATCCATATGTGTGTACAAGCTTCTAATGGCTGTAAACAGGGCACTTTATATTTGACTCTTAAAAGCATTTTTTCTATGTACTTTTTTTACATTTCTACATAGCTATAAAGTTTATTTTTATTTTTAACAGGTGGAAAATGCATTTACTGGGCTACTGGGCTACAAGGACATTCATGTACTTGACTTTAGGTAAATAGATGTTAAAAATGCACATGTTTTGTGGAACTCTTTATTTCAAATGGAATATCGTTTTGTGTTTATTATGTATACTCTAACAATGATTCAAAATGATGTGAATACTGTAATTCAATACTATTTTGTTAAATTCATATTCCTTTTTAAAAAATTTATTTTTTAAAATTATATTGGGGTATAGTTGATTTATAATGTGTTAGTTTCAGGTGTACCACAAAGTGAATCAGTTATACATATATCCACTCTTTTTTAGATTCTTTTCCCATATAGGCCATTACAGAGTATTGAGTAGAGTTCCCTGTGCTATACAGTAGGTCCTTATTAGTCATCTGTTTTATATATAGTAGTGTGTATATGTCAATCCTATAAATTCATGTTCCTAATGCTGGTTTTTCAGGTGAAGAAACTGAGTCAGAAAAAGGCAAAATAATATATTCAAGGAGATATATTAAATTGTAGTTGGGCCAGGGTAAGAACTTAGGAATTCATGTCCCCAGCTTGCTGCTGACAAGTCACACTGCTTTTATTTGGCACTGAAGGGAGCCTGAAGTCAGATTAGATGTGACCTCAGCGTGCTCCTAATGCTCGTCAGTGCTACACTAAGGTGACTTTGACGTCTCCGTGTATGGCCGCTCTGGAAGGGATGTGTTCGTCAACATAACACTTCTGGGTAAACCAGACACCTCTTTTTTTTTTTTTGCGATACGCGGGCCTCTCACTGTTGTGGCCTCTCCCGTTGCGGAGCACAGGCTCCGGACGCGCAGGCTCAGCGGCCATGGCTCACGGGCCCAGCCGCTCCACGGCATGTGGGATCTTCCTGGACCGGGGTACGAACCCGTGTCCCCTGCATCGGCAGGCGGACTCTCAACCACTGCACCACCAGGGAAGCCCCAGACACCTCTTTTTAAGACATTTCTTCCCTACTTACGACCTGCAGCATAATACTTGTGAACATTTACTGAGTGAATACTTCTGGCCTCTTCACATTCCTGAGCTCACTTAATCGTCAACTCTTTCAGCAAAAATATCATTATTAATACTTATTTTGCAGAGGAGCAAACAGGTTTAAAAGGATGAAGTATTAGCCCAAGGTCAGAGAGTTTTTAAGTTAGAGCATAAGAGGGATTTTGAAACAAAGTGGCTGACTTTATAGCTCTCGCTCTTAACCTCTGTGCTAGACTGAGTCCTCTGAAGGTTTGGAGCATGTGGGTGGTAGCTGTGGCCCACCTGTTGGATGCAGGGGAGCATGAGCATAATTAACAGTGTATGCATCTTTGGCATAGTCTTGTCACAACTTCTGGGTTTTCCAGAAATAACAGCAAGCACTTACGAGCACAGTGTGCCAGTATTTATATTAAATCGAGCACAGTGTGCCAGTATTTATATTAATTCATTTAATCCCAACAGCCATGCTGTGAAAGACTTATTGTTATCCTCCTTTTTTTCTGACAAGGAAACCAGAGCACAGGGAATTTAAGTGTTTTATCTAAGGACACTCGGCTAATTATTGGTGCAGGGGCGAGGGCAAGCATGGTAAATTGACCCTCCACCTACTCTCACACCATGACCTGTCTCCCAGTTCAGCCTTAGCCCTTTGCACAGGATACTTGCCTCCAGCTGTGACTAAAGCTCACATGAGAGCCTGAGAAGGTGAGGCTTTTGAAGTCCTCTCTCATTTGGCAGCACTTGAAAGGCAGTTTGGCCTTTGGGATCAACTTGTCTAGGTTTAAATTCTGCCTTTGGCACTGCTGGCTGGATGGTTTTGGATAAATTAACAAGCCTTAACTTCTCCTTTGTATAAAAAAGATAATGTATACAATTTATATTAATCCTGCTTTATTAAAAAATACTTTTAAATGCTTTGGGTAAATTATTTAGTTGTTTTGTTTCTCAGTTTCTTTACCTGTAATATGGGGATGTTCATGGTCCTTAATAAGTTTTCATGAGGATTAAATGAATTAATTTTTGTAAAATGCATACCACATGGGAAGTTCTACTACATTAAATAAATGAATATTAAATAAATAAATATTAAAGGCTATGCAGTATCCTATAAGTTAGTCAGTCCTGACCTTTCCCAACCCCTTAGAACCTTACTATATACCATCTGATTTTCTTTTATTCATTTTAATACCACATAACACATTGTATCCCCCCAAAAGTAGTCCCAATTTTGTTAGTGCCAACAGCTGGAGTTCTCTGCTGATCTACTGAAAAAAAGTTTATTTATAAAGAGATAACCATATATTAATTGTTTAAAAGTATTTTTAACAAGTTTGAAGACAGTAAAGACTATTGATTTTAAAATAGAATATTTTCTCCACCTTTGCTATCTTCCTTCAATGTACAGGAATTTGTCATTATCTAGTATATACAAGCATTTTCATTTAAAGAAACATTTCAGAGGAAGTACATTAAGAACTTGTAGTTTGATGAATTATATGACAATTATAACGCTCTTAAACTCTGCTTAACACTTTCCATTTTTGTTTTCAGATCCCCTAAGGAAAATGGCAGGTAGAGTAACTTTTGGCACTTTCTATACTGTCCACCTAATGAGGAGGTAGTTCAGAAAATATGGTAGCCCAAGGTCCAAGGGAGTGTGGCTTAATTTCTTTATTACTTCCAGTATCACTGTTCATCTCCTTACAGATGAGTTGGCCAACATTTTTTTGCTAAGAGTCAGTAAATATTTCAAACCTTTTCACACTATACAGCCTCTGTCGCATCTACTCACCTCTGTCACTATCTGTCAGATGAAAGTAGATGTAAGCAGTATATTGAAAATGAATGAGCGTGGCTGTGTTCCGATAAAACTTATTCATGGACCCTGAAATGTCAATTTCATGTGATCTTCACGTCACAAAATATTGTTATTTTGATTTTTTTCAACCATTTAAAATATAAAATCCATTAACTCATGGACAGTGGGCTGGATTTAGCTCACAGGCTGTAGTTTACAGACTTCTGTCATAGGCTGCTGACTGACAAAGTACTTTTATTTTTTAATCTATTTTTATTTAGTTTTAAATCAAAAAAATTTTTTTGAGGTATAGTTGATTTACAATTTTTTTTTTTTTTCTTTTTGGTGGTACGTGGGCCTCTCACTGTTGTGGCCTCTCCCGTTGCGGAGCACAGGCTCAGGATGCGCAGGCTCAGCGGCCATGGCTCACGGGCCTAGCCGCTCCGTGGCATGTGGGATCTTCCCAGACTGGGGCACGAACCCGTTTCCCCTGCATCAGCAGGCAGACTCTCAAATCACTGCGCCACCAGGGAAGCCCTGATTTACAATTTTATATAAGTTTCAGGTGTACAACATAGTGATTCACAATTTTTAAAGGTTATACTCCATTTATAGTTATTGTAAAATATTGGCTATATTCCCTGTGCTGTACAATATAGCCTACAACAAATACTTTAAAATATTGAGTTATACTTAATTTAAAATTGGAATAAAAACTGGCATTAATGAAAACACTTTCAAGTATACTATTGTCATTGAATAATATAATCAAGTGTCATTTTAAGTGGTAAATGAAAGGGAGAAAGCTGATCTCTATCATAGTTCATTTGCGAAAACAGCTGCTCTCTGGAACTTCTTAGAAGCATAATATAAAAACATAGTCAATTCGCCTTGTGAAGGTTGCTTGTCATTTTATCTTTGAACTCAACTTTATTTAAAATTTACTTTCTCTTGAAAGATTGATAACCATAATATAGAAAACATGAAGCAAATTCATAAGCTAAGTACAGAGATGTTTAGAGATACGGTAATATTTCTTCATTGTAATATCTTTTTAAAATATTTTTATTGAAGTATAGTTGATTTACAGTATTATATTAGTTTCAGGTGTGGAACATAGTGACTCAGTATTTTTATATATTATATTCCATTTAAAGTTATTATGAAATATTAGCTATATTCCCTGTGCTGTACGATATATCCTTGTAGCTTATTTATTTTATACATAGTAGTTTGTATTTCTTAATCCTCTACCCCTATCGTGCCCCTCCTCCCTTTCCTCGTCCCACTGGTAACTACTAGTTTGTTCTCTATATCTGTGAGTCAGTTTCTGTTTTGTTATATTCATTCGATTATTTTATTTTTCAGATTCCACATATAAATGATAACATAGAGTATTTATCTTTCTCTGTCTGACTTATTTCACTAAATGTAATACACTCCAGGTCAATCCATGTCATTATGCCTTCATTTATATAAGATATAAATATAATATCTTATATTTGAAAAGGGCTTTCTGACTTCCTCATTTTCATTTATATTATTTTAGCAAATATTCACTAAGTGTCTGCTAATTGGGCAAACCTTGTGCCTGCAAAAATGAATAACTGTTGGTCTCCATCATCTAGGAACACAGTCTAATTAAAAGTGCTTTCAGAGATATGTCAAAGTACGGGTTCTTTTGTTTTTTCATTTTATTTTCTTATATCCCTGTAAGATAGTGAAAATGAGAATATTCATTCTCCTTTTGGAGGCAATTTTGCCTTAGAGAGGCAAACTGATTTGACGTAGCTTACGTGACTAGAGGGTATCAGATATTTTGTCCAAAGTAATCAGGATTTGGGTTTCTGTACTCTTAGTATATGCAGACTGCTCTGTGTGTTTATATTATAGGTATATGTGTTGATGGTCAATATTCAACCAAAAGATAGTTTAATTGCTGCCCTCTTGGGGAGATTAGAATGTTAAAACAACCCGAATTCTGATGTTAATCCTGTGATCAAAGAATGGTTTCAGTTGCTGAGTGCTAAGTTCTCTATCGGGACACAGACAACAATTCAATATGAAACCATTAGATTTTATGATAGAATTGTTAACCTAAGTACAGTTTCTAAAATTGTTCCGTATTGTCAGATATTAACCAGTTGGTGGAGTTTATTCATAACTTTCTGGTATACTTTTATTTTGAGCTGTGTGTGAATGAATGTGTGGCACAGAAATAGTCTATTTATATAATATGTAACACCCCTCTCTCTCTCCATAAGCATTTATATACACATGAAATTTTCTATTTGCTTTGTACCTCTTTCAAGATGCACACATTATTTTAAGTTATTAGGACCCATTTGAAGTGAATAAACAAAATATCTGCCTGGTACACACACTTCAAAAATTCAGCTCCAGGCCTTGTAAGTATGCACCTTCTTCCTAATAGAAGTATGAGAGAAGAAGGGATGTCTGAGTTTCTCTGAAATATCTTTAGTTTGATCAGTTGTCACGAGATGTGGTATCATTATTTTTTCTATTTAAAACCTGCACACATCAAACAGCCAATCAGGGCATTAGAGGTGAGGAATAAGGGTAAATTTCACCTCCACATGATTGATGTCTCTGGAAATAGCAGTCAGACAGAGAAACTTTCCTCTACATAGCAGTCGTTTCAGTTTAGAAGATGAAAGATGATGCTATGGTGATGGTTGGTTAACTTGGAGTTGCTGAGTGCAGAGAGCCAGCATAGCTTTCTTCAGTCAGATAACGTTTTGTCACCAGTGTGCATTCTGTGTCTTATGTACTTTCTTTTTCTCTTGGCTTTTATTCTGTTCCTCATCTTGAGATGTCTCTGTATTCCATTTACCATGCCAGAACTAAGTCTGTTCTGGGTCATGCTGAAGTTCTCCGATCTGAGAATAAATGGTTTTCTGATACCTCAAGCATTACTTTGAGTTCTCTTTCCAGGACAAAAACTTGGTAATAAATTGCAGTATCTCTGTGAGGCATTTTATCTTCTTTAAAGAATTTATCCTTACTAGGCAAGGTAGATGATATTAGAAGTGTTATTTTTAGAAGTCCAAGGGAAACATTGGGAGACAAATTATATTTTGCCAGTAAAGAGTAAGGCTAGTGATCTAACCCAGACTGCCTGATTTGCTCAGATTTCTTGATCCAGGAACATTTCTCTTGGTCCTCTCCCTATGCTATTTAAAAGTCATGCAAAGCACAGGTAGGCTCTCAGTAAAGGCTTGACTCTCCTTGTCTGATTTTCTTTGTAGCCTTGTCTGATTTTCTTTGTAGCTCAAGTGCTAACTGGCACAACCTTTTCTTCTTCTCCATTTTTTCCCTTATCACTGCTTCCTTAGAGCCTTAGAGTCTTAGAGCCATATTAACATGTTAATAGGTTGGGCATAGATCCCAAGGAGAAGCTCACCTTTCTGGAGATGTAGGCATGGTCCATCCCACAGAGCTTGGAAAGAGCATGCACATCCTCACAGAGCTGGGTTCTGGCTGTGAAGCAGTGTCCCTAAAATCATTACCCAGAAGACACAAATGTATGAGGATAATATGTGTGCTCTTTAGGGTGAAAAATTACTCTTTCATATTTAGAGACTTAAAAACCCTTCAGATTAAGTCAGGAGTATCACATACTGTCATTTAAGTGGCACAAATTCAATGGTCTTATCTGCCTGCATTACTGAATAAAATTGACCGTTTGTTTTTTCATTATTTTCAAAAGTATTTAGTGAACTGCTGTGAGCCAGGTATTGTGTCCTAAATGCTTGGGACACATGTGGTGTGGTAAGTTGTGACCAGTAAGTGTACCTCATACTATTTTATTTCACATTGGGGCCATCATTTGGTTATTTTAGCATGTTTTACTGAATTTATTTCTTTACAAAAGGAGATCAGGAATTACTCATGAATCAACATATTGCGATATGAAAAATTAAGGGTTTGAGGGAATTTACAGATGACAAGCAGATGTCTCGCCACTTAGTAGGGCATCCGGGTGTCAAAATGCTCAATTACCACTTTAAAACTCCCTAAACCACCCTGTTGGAAGTGGTAGCTTATCAGATCTGGGAGGAAAACCTTACTGACCTTAGAGTGGGACAGGAACATCGTATCATGCCTGGCTGCTTCTGTGGCAGGTGAGGGGTAACACCTTCATGGCTTCCCCTGTAGGCCCTGGACAAGATCAGAATGCCAGTGTTCCCAGGAAGGAGAAGTCTCTTGAGACCAATTTATGCTAACCAAACCACAAAATACAATGCCGATTGATCTATTTAAAGCAAGAAATATATCTGCCGACTGACTAATTATTGCATTGGCTTAGCTCATGCATTCTTTCCCCATAGGACAATCTGTAGGGAATTATAATCAAAAGTTCCTTTTGCAAGCTTGAGATCAGAGAAAGGAAGTTGGGTGATCCTAATGGCCAGTATCAAAGTCATGCTAGCCTGTTGCAGCTGTCTCCAGTCTAGGGATCTGTGTTACAAGGAAGCCACAATACACTGATCAGAAACTTTTCACTAATGGTAGCATAAATTAGTTGACTAACCCTTTTTCTAGACTCTATGAGACACTTCTCATTATCCTGACACTTTTTTTTGAGATATATGAATACCTTAATTAGGCTGCAGTTTTCTCTTTATATTCAGGCAGGTATAGATTTCTGTTAATTTGATAGGCACTTAATGCCAGGTACCAAGCCAAACATTGGAGATAGAAACTCAAGGAGAGACTGCAAGGCAGTCACTATAAACAGAATCTTTTTACAAAACAGCAAAGGCTATAATCAAGGAATATATAAGTGAGCTCAGAGGAGGAAGTGCTTAATTTATTTGAGTGCTTTGCTTTGGGCATCATTTTGCTCCTATAGAATGTCTGAAGGTGGCAGATTATTTCCATTGCACATCTGCCTTCAGTGGTTTCTCTTTGGGAGGGTGGTATTCTCCTTTCCTCTGGAGGGATCTTGGTGTGTCTTGCTGGGTACTGCCTCTGATGGCTGTGTCTCATAGACTGGCTGGAAGCCAGAATGATGAGTAGAGCAAAGCCATTCTCATAATGACTTTTTTCTGGTAGTAGTTTAATTAAAGTTACTGAGAGTGTAGCAAAGTAGTTCAGAATACAGGTACTGGAGTCAGGCAGATCCGTGTTTGAATCTTGACTCTATCCCTTATATATGGTGAAATTTTAGACAAGTCTTTTAACTTCTTTAAAGCTCGGTTTCTTAATAATAATCTGAAGGTAATAAAACCTTCATAAGGTTATTATGAATATTAAGTGAGATTAAAGCCTGTGAAATACCTGTCACATTGTAAGCACTTACAAAAATGTTAGTTTTTAGCTGTTAGATAAATCTGAGTGTCTAGAAGGAGTAATTCTGTTGGCTTAAAAATTTTATATTCTGATGTTTCTTCAAAATGACTATTTAAGAAAATATCAAATGACATATCATGTCCTACTAATTATTTTCACTTTATCCTTTATTCCAAGAAATCTTCTCTTTGCTTGTGGAAAGATAGTGAAAAGGCCCCATTCCTAGACAAAGTTATTTCTTAGCACTTGTCAAACCTTTATTCAGCACATTAAGGAGGGAACCAACAGAAAAATGAGAGCTAGTTTCTAGAGCATTTGAAAGAAGTATATATAGTTAATTGGGAAAGGATTGTTAAGTTAGACACAACATTGCTAAATGCCCTACTGGTTAGTAAAATCATAAACTTTGGATTTATCGTTCTATCAGGCCAAAAAACCCATCACATTTTAGTAGTTCTTTTTTACAATTCACTATTAAACTTTATAGGACTGTAAATTGTCTGTGCTATAAAACAAAAGTATGTCTCCTGAGAGACTTAGATAACTGTCATATTAGAAAATATTCTAGCATGATATTTTAAAAAAGTCATCAATTTGCTTTATCTCCAAATATTTCATATTTTCCTTTCACAGTAGGCAACTATGTTTTAGTTCCTAGTAATTAAGTTTCTTCATTGCTTCACTCCCCATTGTGGAGTACATAATTCATCCAGCAACAGTAATAAAGAGATATGAGAGGATTTCCCCTTGTTGAGTAGAGTTAGAGGGTTTTGTTTTGTTTTGTTCTTTTAAATCAGGTAGGAAAAAGGCTAATAGGGAAAGAAGGAAGCAGGCTGATAGGGAAAAGGAGCAGTTGGCTTTGAAGGGGTGAGAACGTGGGGGAAGAATACGCTCAGGTATTGTGCAGGGTTGACTCTGCGGCCTCCTTAGACCCCTTTCCATGTTCTTAGATCTATAACCCTCTGTTCTCTGGGAAGAAGGGGATGGCTAAAGGTTTCCCAGAGTCTTCAGAGAATGGTGATGGAATCCATGCTTTTTGAGACTCTCCCTCTAGGTCTAATGTTTGTTCTTGGTGGGTTCAAGGCTCCTTTCTTTGTGTTTCCTTGGTGGGACCCAATCTGTTTCTCTTTTCATCCATAGTGGCATAGATGTTCACTATGCAGTTACCTTCAATGGTGATGCCATCAGCAATACCACCTGGGACCTAATTAGCCTTCACTCCAACAAGGTGGAGAACCATGGTCTTGTGGAATTGGATGATAAGCCCACTGCTGTTTATACAATTAGTAACTTCAGAGATTATATTGCTGAGACACTGCACCAGAATGTTTTGCTGGGGACCTCCTCTTTGAATCTGGATCCTGACTCCCTTCAGCTTATTGATGGTAAGTTGGATAACCATTAAGTCTTTGTACAGTTTTAGTTTCTTTTCCAGTATATTCTGGGAAAACTAATTTCCAAAAATAGTTATGGTTCTGGCACTCTCTAGACTGCATGAGACAGAAGCCATCCTGATGTGAATGGCGCTTTAGCCATGCAGATAATTTGGGTAGATCAATCAGGGGTTTCTGGTGGAAGAATGGCATGAGGATTAAGATATGCCATAGGCAAAGTGAGGTTGTTTAGGAAACTAAATCCATAAACAACATAGTGAGGTCTTCCTTTTATGTGGAGCCTGTGGTGGAGATACTTCTAGAAGATGTCCTAAAAAAGAGGTCAACAGTTCTCTCAGAATTTCCAAGCAAGTTTAACAAAAGCTTTAGGATATCCAGTACAAACTAATTCAGGTGCTTTGACCTTTCAGTAGATGTACATTTCAATTGCTCAGAATTTTATTCCTAAAATCCATTTCTGTTTGTTTTGCCAGCTTCAGAGTTCTGAATGGCTGCAGCTTTCTAGGTGACTCAATCATCTTAAAAGATATGTTCATCTTTGATCTCATGCTACTTGTTTTCCATAGAAGACAAGATAACTGAATACACAGTTGAAAAAGAATTTTGGAAAATACTTACATTTTCCAAAAATAGGGTCTTTGACTTCTGTTTGATCCCCTTATGCCAGTGAACAGGTGAATTAAGAGAGATTCTGCTTCTATTTTTGAGTATGCACCAGATCACCTTTCTGACAATCCTTTCTTTTTACCTTTTGTTGATTCCTTCTCTCCTCCAGGCAAAATCATTTTCTTTTTTGTCTGTGTTCACATACATTATATAAATGTCCCTCATATTGTTTTATAATATGTATTTATCTGTGACATAGGGAACAGTTCCACAAAAGAAACTTGACTTTATTAATGTTTATAGCCTCAATCTCATCAAAGTCCATGATAACTAGCAAGGATTCAGTAAATCTTATTGAATTAAATTATACAATCTACTCTGTTAACTTTATGGCTTAGTATTGGTATAGTGATAAACTCTCTGGTGTCTTACCCCATTTTTCAAAGGCACTTTCTGCCGAAAAGGAAATAGTTTTGCATAATTTTCTCCATTTTTAGCATCAACTAAATAAGTTGGAATTTCAGTTCAACTTTGTTATTAAAATGAAAAAAAAATCAGTTTTAAAGCAACTACTTCATAGGAATCTTGAAAAGAGTAAAAAATTGCTTGATAAAGGAAAGAAAATAATATAGCAGTGTCCTAAATGTAGTGATGGGGAGAATATTTATTTTATGTTTGAGTCTTGTAATTTAGACAGATTGTGCTAATATAAGTACAATATTTGAATAAAGTATCAAGCATTTTCTAAGCGACTCCCCATCTGTTCTACCCAAATGTAAGCTATAAAAAGGAAAAACTTGGTTTTTACTTGTCCCTGAACCTCAAGTACAATTGTGTCTCAACTAAAAATGTTCTTTGATGTTACTCTTTCTTTAGTGAGAGGAGTTTTACTTCCCCAAAGTGAAGACCAAGTTTGGAACACCCAAAGTTCAAGTCTTCAGGAAACCTTACCATCTATTCTGGTAAGTATGTTTCTGTGTTTTACTCCTAGAACCAGGCCCTCAAGCTTTTCTTCTTTGTACACTTACCTGCTTACTTTGGTATCATGACTTTCCCAAGCTGTTCCTATTACACATATTCTCTTATATCATCCTTGGGACATTATTCATAGTTGTCAGCTCATGGGACCCAAGTATTGGTTCAGATAATTTAAGCCTTCTACAGTGGTTAAATGAAGTCCACACATTTGGCATTGCCAAAGTCCACACATGGTAGAAAGCTTATTTATAGTTCATACTTGCTTGGTGATAATTAAGCTATAAGTGCCCACTGAGTTGTTCTCTAAAAGTTACCCAGAAATAGTTTTTATAGCCAATATTATAAATTTGGTGTACATAGATACAGAGTATACATTTTTGTTCCAAGGATTGTATTGAAGAAAAAGTTTAGACTCCAAAGTATATTGAACAGTGTGTGTATGGAAAGGAGAGAAGGCAGAGTAGAAATATTGGCTAGTTGACAGAGGTGGTATATCAGGTCTGCATTTTTTTTTTCATATTTAAGTCCATTTATTTCTAATGTTATTTATCCTTACATGTGTGTTTTTTTTAATTGCAGTTTGAAGTTGTAGAATTTCTTTTTTCTTTTAATTGGCATATAGTTGCTTTACAATGTTGTGTTAGTTTCTGCCGTACAGCAAAGTGAATTAGCCACACGTATACATATATCCTCTCTTCCTTGGATTTCCTTCCCATTTAGGTCACCACAGAGCAGTGGGTAGAGTTTCCTGTGCTTTACAGTCTGTTCTCATTAGTTATCTATTTTATACATAGTAGTGTATATATGTCAACCCCAATCCATCCCACCCCCACCTTCCAATCAGGCCTCCTTTTAACCTGGGCAGAAAGCATTCCCATTTGCACAGAAACAGCATGGAATGAACTTTCCTTTTTGTTCTTACCACTTAACTCCCCTGGACACTCTTCTGCCCCCTTCAAATCTCCACTTGCCATGTCATCTACAGGGAGGCATCCAGTAGAAAAGAAAGTGGCTTCCTCAAGTGCAGGTAAAACAACAACCACAACACCTGTGGAGACTAAGCTGTCTACCACACGACTATACGATCTTTTATTATCACACAGTCACAGAATGGAGACTCCCTTCTTCTTCATTCCCTGCTCCTTCTACCCTCTTGAGACTTCTTTTCTGTCTCATATGGCAAAGAAGAAATTAATGGTAATTAATTTCAGATACTTGTTTCCTGGCTTTAATCCAGCAATTGAAATTTAGAAAGTCTGCCCCAAATTGGCTTAACCAATATATACAGCCATTACTTCTGCTCAGGTATAGAGCAACTCAGTTTTGAAATGTGGAGTCACTGGAAATACTCTTTTTCACCAAGTTCCATGTTGGAGAAAAAAGGTTAGAGGGGGATTGACATCAGAGATTACATTCATTTGGTGTTTGTTTATTCATTCACTTATTAATTCAAGTATATTTATTTTGTGCTTTTCATGTGCCAAGTGCTGGGGAAGCTAAGATGAATAAGGTGTGGCCTTGCCTACAAGAAGTTTCCAGTCTGGTGGTTGTAGACAGACTTCTACACAAATAAAGTAGTGCTGTCATAGGATTTCGTCCAAGGTGCGGTGGCAGGGAGTGGTGATCCACTGCGAACATGGTACATTCCGCTCCTTCTAATCCCATTCTACTCAGGGCTTCCGTAACCACAGATCTGTGATGATATCTTAGAACGATGTAAAGACAGAAATTTCTGCATAAGCCAGGGGTTGCAAACTGGAGACCAGCTGACTGGATCCAGCTATAGGCATGTGCTTTGAGGCCAATTTTTTTTTTTTAATTTTTATAAATTTATTTATTTATTTTTGGCTGCGTTGGGTCTTCGTTGCTGCGCAAAGGCTTTCTCTAGTTGCGGTGAGCGGGGGCTACTCTTTGTGGCAGTGCGCAGGCTTCTCATTGAGGTGGCTTCTCTTGTTGCGGAGCACGGGCTCTAGGCACGTGGGCTTCAGTAGTTGTGGCTCATGGGCTCAGTAGTTGTGGCTCATGGGCTTCAGTAGTTGCGGCACATGGGCTCTAAAGCACAGGCTCAGTAGTTGTGGCGCATGGGCTTAGTTGCTCCGCGGCATGTGGGATCTTCCCGGACCAGGGCCCGAACCCGTGTCCCCTGCATTGGCAGGCAGATTCTTTTTTTTTTTTTTTCACTACTGAGGGTTTATTGCTTAGTTCAAAGTTCCATTTTTTTTTTTTTTTTTTTTGGGAGACTCTGTAATAGATAATTTTATTTTATTTTATTTTTTTTTTTAACATCTTTATTGGGGTATAATTGCTTTACAATGGTGTGTTAGTTTCTGCTTTATAACAAAGTGAATCAGTCATACATAAACATATGTTCCCATATGTCTTCCCTGTTGCGTCTCCCTCCCTCCCAACCTCCCCATCCCACCCCTCCAGGCTGTCACAAAGCACCGAGCCAATATCCCTGTGCCATGCGGCTACTTCCCACTAGCTATCTACCTTACTGCGTTTGTTAATGTGTATATGCCCATGACTCTCTCTCGCCCTGTCACAGCTCACCCTTCCCCCTCCCCATAACCTCAAGTCCGTTCTCTAAGAGGTCTGCGTCTTTATTCCTGCTTTACCCCTAGGTTCTTCATGACATTTTTTTCTTAAATTCCATATATATGTGTTAGCATACAGTATTTGTCTTTTTCTTTCTGACTTACTTCACTCTGTATGACAGACTCTAGGTCTATCCACCTCATTACAAATAGCTCAATTTCGTTTCTTTTTATGGCTGAGTAATATTCCATTGTATATATGTGCCACATCTTCTTTATCCATTCATCCGATGACGGGCACTTAGGTTGTTTCCATCTCCGGGCTATTGTAAATAGAGCTGCAATGAACATTTTGGTACATGACTCTTTTTGAATTTTGGTTTCCTCAGGGTATATGCCCAGTAGTGGGATTGCTGGGTCATATGGTAGTTCTATTTGTAGTTTTTTAAGGAACCTCCATACTGTTCTCCATAGTGGCTGAACCAATTCACATTCCCACCAGCAGTGCAAGAGTGTTCCCTTTTCTCCACACCCTCTCCAGCATTTATTGTTTCTAGATTTTTTTGATGATGGCCATTCTGACTGGTGTGAGATGATATCTCATTGTAGTTTTGATTTGCATTTCTCTAATGATTAATGATGTTGAGCATTCTTTCATGTGTTTGTTGGCAGTCTGTATATCTTCTTTGGAGAAATGTCTATTTAGGTCTTCTGCCCATTTTTGGATTGGGTTGTTTGTTTTCTTGTTATTGAGCTGCATGAACTGCTTGTAAATTTTGGAGATTAATCCTTTGTCGGTTGCTTCATTTGCAAATATTTTCTCCCATTCTGAGGGTTGTCTTTTGGTCTTGTTTATGGTTTCCTTTGCTGTGCAAAAGCTTTGAAGTTTCATTAGGTCCCATTTGTTTATTTTTGTTTTTATTTCCATTACTCTAGGAGGTGGGTCAGAAAGGATCTTGCTTTGATTTATGTCATAGAGTGTTCTGCCTATGTTTTCCTCTAAGAGTTTGATAGTTTCTGGCCTTACATTTAGGTCTTTAATCCATTTTGAGCTTATTTTTGTGTATGGTGTTAGGGAGTGATCTAATCTCATACTTTTACATGTACCTGTCCAGTTTTCCCAGCACCACTTATTGAAGAGGCTGTCCTTTCTCCATTGTACATTACTGCCACCTTTATCAAAGATAAGGTGTCCATATGTGCATGGGTTTATCTCTGGGCTTTCTATCCTGTTCCATTGATCTATCTTTCTGTTTTTGTGCCAGTACCATACCGTCTTGATGACTGTAGCTTTGTAGTATAGTCTGAAGTCAGGGAGCCTGATTCCTCCAGTTCCTTCTTTCGTTCTCAAGATTGCTTTGGCTATTCGGGGTCTTTTGTGTTTCCATACAAATTGTGAAATTTTTTGTTCTAGTTCTGTGAAAAATGCCAGTGGTAGTTTGATAGGGATTGCATTGAATCTATAGATCGCTTTGGGTAGTAGAGTCATTTTCACAATGTTGATTCTTCCAATCCAAGAACATGGTATATCTCTCCATCTATTTATATCATCTTTAATTTCTTTCATCAGTGTCTTATAATTTTCTGCATACAGGTCTTTTGTCTCCTTAGGTAGGTTTATTCCTAGATATTTTATTCTTTTTGTTGCAATGGTAAATGGGAGTGTTTTCTTGATTTCACTTTCAGATTTTTCATCGTTAGTATATAGGAATGCCAGAGATTTCTGTGCATTAATTTTGTATCCTGCCACTTTACCAAATTCATTGATTAGCTCTAGTAGTTTTCTGGTAGCACCTTTAGGGTTCTCTATGTATAGGATCATGTCATCTGCAAACAGTGACAGCTTTACTTCTTCTTTTCCAATTTGGATTCCTTTTATTTCCTTTTCTTCTCTGATTGCTGTGGCTAAAACTTCCAAAACAATGTTGAATAAGAGTGGTGAGAGTGGGCAACCTTGTCTTGTTCCTGATCTTAGTGGAAATGGTTTCAGTTTTTCACCATTGAGGATGATGTTTGCTGTGGGCTTGTCATATATGGCCTTTATTATGTTGAGGAAAGTTCCCTCTATGCCTACTTTCTGCAGGGTTTTTATCATAAATGGGTGTTGAATTTTGTCAAAAGCTTTCTCTGCATCTATTGAGATGATCATATGGTTTTTCTCCTTCAATTTGTTAATATGGTGTATCACGTTGACTGATTTGCGTATATTGAAGAATCCTTGCATTCCTGGAATAAACCCCACTTGATCATGGTGTATGATCCTTTTAATGTGCTGTTGGATTCTGTTTGCTAGTATTTTGTTGAGGATTTTTGCATCTATGTTCATCAGTGATATTGGCCTGTAGTTTTCTTTCTTTGTGACATCCTTGTCTGGTTTTGGTATCAAGGTGATGGTGGCCTCGTAGAAGGAGTTAGGGAGTGGTCCTCCCTCTGCTATATTTTGGAAG